AAAAAAAAAAAAAAAAAAAAAAAAAAAAAAAAAAAAAAACTCCACTAAAATATTTTATCGAGAAGTTCACCACTTTTTAATAAAAACTATTTATACGTATCATATTGGAAATAGAAAGAATCAAAGCTACCTTTGAATTCTTGTAGTAGGAAAGTAATGAAAAAACTGTCAAGAAAATAAAAGCACAATAACATAATATATTACTTGGAGTATAAAAAAACAGAACATGTTGTACCTTCCTTTTTAGTTCAATTAATACAAAGGTAGCAAAAAGTATTAATGTAAGACCATCTACAATTAATATCTATAGTCTGTGGGTAGGCTTCGATATCACAGTTCATTTCATATTAACAGACTTCCTTTTTAAACAAGGTATACATAATAATTTAATATAACTTTTAAAAAAGGGATAAGCTCATGTCCAACAAATTCAATTCAACATGTGTCTCTCAAAAGACAAAAATCGGTGCAAATAACAAGCTTTTAGAACAATTTGTGGATTTTTATATCAGGGTCCTCATACCTGAAATAACTACTATCTGTATCTATACTTACAGCTACACTAAAATTTGAACAGTTTTCTACAAATAGTAATAGCCACATACTTTTTTATCAGTTAAAATTGGGGGTTCTGCTTTCATTTTGGATTTTTTGCTAAAACAAATTGGAAAATAACACAATAGTAAATGTTCCCATTACATACTCATGTTGATGTTAATAATTTAAAACTGATGTATATGAACTGAAGTTTCTAATACAGTACTTTCAGTTATATGAACTGAAGTTTCTAATAACAAATCAATCTCATATGATTTGTTAGGACTTCATAAAGTCTCTGAGATGAAATTGGAAGATAAATTAGAGAAATATATAAGAATTATAAACAGTTGTTAGAGACTGAAGCTATTCTGGCATCAAGCGTAAAGTTCAAAACAGAGAATGTAATCACCATTTTAGAAATTAAAGATTTTTATTTGCTTATGCTTTTAGGTAATCTATTTTTAAAAACTCATTTATGCTACAATTTTGCAGGCTTGGATAAAACACTAAATGTAAAGAGAGCTAAAACAGTCCTTTACATGACCAAAGCTAATCATTCATGATATACAGCTTAATACCTCAACTTTACAAACTACTTCTAAAAAACATATTTCTTAGATTCTGAACCTGTATTTTCATTCCCTCCTGTATCTGTGTGTTCACAAGTTCTAAGGAACAGCCTTCTCCTGTGTTGAACACTTTATTGCTATTGTGTGTGTGTGTGAAATACATAAACATCAATAATTGAGAATATTTATGAAAAATGTATTAGGGAGACAGAACGTGAGATGGTACTGTGCTGCAGAAACGATGTGATAACATGGGGCTTGTTAGCTAAAAAAAATCACTATTATGTAGCTTTTTACAAGGTAAATGACGTTTAATACAGTACAGGCTTTGCTGTCTGGTACCTTTAAAAAACTCAGCTAAAACTTCATTCTATTAAAAGCATGATTTATGACAGCGTCAAAATAAGTGACTTACCATAAAATTTTATATAATCTCTCCATTATCGGTCCTAGAGATATATGTATATATGTGTGTATATACATATATTTACTTTGATCAGTACTTTTATTTTATTTTTTCTGTACATTCTTTTTTTCTTTTTTTAATTATATTTTAAGTCCTGGGGTACATGTGCAGATTGTGCAGTATTGTTACATGGGCATACAAATGCCATGGTGAAAAGAAATATATATCTTTTTTGCAGTAGGAAAATCTCTTCGTTCATGTTACATGTGTACATTTATTACAGGGAATATTAGTGAAAAATATAAACACATGAAATAAACAACAACAAAAATCTCATGGTGTGTACCATGTAGCATGGTGGCTACGTTTAGCCCTGTGATATTGTGAGTGCTGGCACAGCAGGGATTCTCATATATTATATGAAATTATTATTTGGAAACCTCAGATTCATACAGCAGAACATAATGGCTTGAAACAAATGTTGTGAAATGTGTGGTGGGGTAGAGCTAGTTGGGGAAAATAACACTTACCCCGCACATGTGCCAGTTAATTTCTTCCCCAAACATTTGCTTGCTACAGTGCAGATGTGTCTCAGGACTAATGACTACCTTTTAGAAGGGTATTGTGAATATAGATTAACCAAGGAAATAGAAAACAATCTTTGGAAAAGTGGAAATTTCCTTCATTCTAATATTCTCAAATTTTTACTTAATAAAAATGACAACATCATATTTCATCATTATTTTATTTGTTGTGAGTAAATCCAGAAATAAAGTTAAATGTGCTCAATTTGGTCTCACGCAGTTTAAAAATAATAAAATCATATGGTACAGATTTACCTAGGCAAGTGGAACAATGTCCAATTTCAATGCAAAATGCTCATAATATAATAAAAAGAAAAAACAAAGTGTTGTGTATAATACTGAATATACATTATTATCCTAGTTTTATAAAAATGGTCACTCTTCCCCTCTTCTCTGTCTCTATTGTTATTTCTGCAGCTTCATATTTGGATGACATTTTAACTTTCTAAATTTTAAAAATTTTCCTTCAGTGGGCATGTGTTGTTTTAAAATTGAAAAAAAAAATTATGCAAGTTTAAAAAATGATCAATTAGATTTGGGAAGATCAAAAGCACCTTTAAAATCCCTTGGTCTTTGATGCCGAAAGAAAATGGAAATTGTTTTGGCCACAAATAACTCAGACAAAAAGTGTCTCATTCTACATTTTTTGTAGAAATTTTTTTTCAGTGACAGGAGGTGGGAAAACTCACAGCTTATGAGACATAGAGTTGTGGAATATGCATACATATTAGCGAGAAATTCTAAACATTTGGAAATGTGCCAGAAATTTATAGTTAAGATGTCAACACCCACGCAAGTCAGTGGGTGAGACTTGATTGAATGTGATAATGCCTGTAAAAGTGGCTTATGCCCCACTCTGTAGTGGTAAGGAATTGGTGTTCATGCTTTAGTCTTTAATTGCTATCATTATGCACTTCAGGTTGAAGTAAGCTATGCTTTTCTTTTTTGATGGATTAAAGAAGAATGGAGGCTAAGGATAATGTTAGTTTCACCGTGGTGCTGGATTACAAATGCAAAGGCAATTTCCAAATTTTTCATTCAATCCAGCAAACCCTGTGCAAGGTGCAAGGCACTGTGTAATGTGTTGACAATACAATGTTGAGAATATTTCATTGAAGTGACTCTGAAGCTTGGAGTCTAATAAGAGTAATAGATTGGTAAAACAATAATGACAATGACAGCCCCAAAAGAAATATGGTAGAGTTGGGGAGAGATGAATTGTGATGATGTGGCTGGGCATAGGGACTGGAGGTGCTTCTAATTTTAGATGACAACTAAGTTGTTTTTAATAGAGAATCACAGGCATTCCAAGTTGAATAAAATAGCATAGTAGGATGAAATACAGAATTTTTTTTTTGAGACCGAGTCTCGCTCTACCACCAGGCTGGAGTGCAGCAGCGCAACCTCGGCTCACTGCAACCTCTGCCTTCTTGGTTCAAGTGATTCTCCTGCCTTAGCCTCCTGAGTAGCTGGGATGACAGGCGTATGCTACCATGCTCAGCTAACTTTTGTACTTTTAGTAGAGATGGGGTTTCGCCATGTTGGCCAGGCTGGTCTCAAACTCCTGACTAAAAGTGATTTGCCCACCTCAGCCTCCCAAAATGCTAGGATTACAGGTGTGAGATACCATGCCCAGCCAAAACACCTAATTTATTCAGGGAATGACAAGTAAATAGTTTGTATTTCCGAAGTGTCAGTTGTAGATGGAAAATAGCAGTGGGTGAGGGTAAGGCTAGATCATAAAGAGTTTTATGTGCTAGCTTAAATGCTATATTTAAAAAAAATAATATTTGGGTAACATTGTGCGGAAGTGGATTCTGAATATAAGGGCAAAGATAGACATGTCATTAGAAAGGCTATTGCAATCATCTAGGACAGGGAGGGTTAAAACCCTGCAATAATCTTATAGAGGTGTGCGAAGAATGAAGCAACTGTTTTTAAAAATTAAGAATGTCAAGGACCCAGTCCGTGGAAGGAGCAGGCAGGTTTGTAAAAATTAAGAAAGGCAGGAGGTTAGGAAAAACACAAATGAAATTAAGCAGATAAGGTGATTAAATCTTGGAATAATACTTAACCTGAAAGCCAGTAACTGATGCTCCTAGTGCCTCTCTTTTACACCCGCACCCTTACCACGTGGGTACTTGCAGGTCCAACTGACAGTAATTACATTTAAAAATTTTTTCACTTATGGCTTTTCTCTGGCTTCTGGAACTCTCTGTCAGCTTACTGAGTATCCTGAATTCCTCCATACCTACCCAGGAATAGGCTTCAGCTCCTGAAGGACAGGAGTTGGTGTAAAAATACCCCAATTTGTTTCCCACTGGATGGGATAACACTGACACTCAGGGGTCTAGAGCAGGATCAGGCTCCAATAACCCAAGTGGTAACTTTTTTGACTGTGAGATTTTATTGGCTGCCTTCGCTTCCCTATCTCATTTCTCCACTTGCCACTGGCATTTTTCCAGAATCACTCCCTTTATGGGGAAGCCAATCTAAGACAAAATCCAGCCCAAAGGAAGTCTTTACATAAAAAGCAACAGGTAGGTGCTGCCATATAATCATGTGGTTTCCATCCTGTCTGAGATGTACCCCAAAGCCATCTAAGAATTTAGTTAGTTCATGATGAACTGGGAAACTGTAAAGTACATTGGTACTGCAGCAGAAAGAAAAAAGATATTTACATGAAACTCTTGATTATAATCTATCAGAAGTTTATGAAATATTTCACCTCTTATTCTTAGAAGATGACACATTGTAAGAGGACAGGAGAGCTCTAGTATTTGTAATAGTACTTAGAATTATTGATGTTCCAATAGAAAATGATAGTAGATTATGCAGTTATTCTGAATGGCTACTTATTCTTAAGGTCCGCTGGTTCCTAGAAGATAGGAGTCTCTTCTCTGAATTTATCTTACTGATTCCATAACTATTCCTGTCCATCTATATCCATTCATGTTTGTTGATGAGATCATCACATCCTTGTTACTCAGGATCTGTGAAGATCCATGCTGATCCAAGGACCAGCAGCATCAATTACCTGGGAACTTAACTGTAGAATGTCATGCCATTTTTACAAATGTAAGGTGGAAAAAATAAGCAAACAAAAAAAGAATGCCAGACTTCACTTCTGCATTTTCAAGATCCCCATTGATGTGTATGCACTTCAAAGTTGGAGGAGCATTGCTTTAGATAAGATTTGCTGCTAAAGATAGAAAACTTAGGTCACTATACCTACCTCTTGGTATAGTAGGTGCCAAGATATGTACAAGCTTCAGCTTGTGCTCTGGAGAGAGGTCTATATGACTAATACTACAACAATTCTCTGTTGTAAAAAATGTGAAATTATTTGCAAAGTAGAGGACAGAAAACGTATCATTTAGAGTCAACATCCTTTTGAGCCTGATTTCTATTTTAGTATTTAATTTCTTTTAGTTTGGTTTCTCTTATTTCTATAATTTTTATAACATGGCTATAAATCCTACCCCAAATTAAATAGCTTTCTTACTTTATCTACCATATGTCATGAGAGATTCAGCACATTATTATCATAATTATTATTTAGAATATTCAATTTGTAGATTCATCATAACATTTAATAATTTAAAAATCTTCAAACTTTAAAAAATTTTTTGATGAGCTTTTGATGCTTATAGTTCTGTTTGCACTTACGGCTATTCCTTAAGGTAAACCCTTGCAAATCCTCGTCTGAATGGGGGTTTTCTTTGTTTCCTGGGGATCTTTCTACACATTATCATCAGTGAACTTATAATCTTAATATTACACTGCCCTTGCCCTTTATCTTTCATACCCACATTCCTCATTTTCCTTTGAAAAGCCAACCACACCTCCTCCATGATAAACTTTACATCCATTTCCTCCACCCTTGAGTCACTGTGTTTTATTCTTGAAACTCCATTTCAATTCCTGTCTCTGAGTCACCTTCCTCCCATTAAAATTAAACTCAGAGTCCATGTTTTCCATGCAGATTGACCAAGCTGATATGGGGCAGCTGTGGTGGCTATCCAATTTCAAATAAAAGACAACATAATTTTGAATTACTCTTCTCTTGACTTTAAATAAGCTTTCTTTTGAAATTTCACAGAAATATTTCCATCTGTCAGCTTTCTTTTATTTTCCATTTTTTTTGTTTGTTTGTTTCTTGAGTCAGGGTCTCACTCTGTTGCCCCAGCTGGAGTGTAGCAGTGTGATCATGGTTCACTGCATCTTGGAACTCCTCAGTTCAAGTGATTTTTTTTCTGCCTTAGCCTCCCAAGTAGCTGGGACTACAGGCGCACACCACTACATCTGTCTAATTTCTCTTTGATTTTTAGTAAAGTCTACCTCTCGCTATGTTGCCCAGGCTGGTCTCAAACTCCCGAGCTCAAGCAATCATCCTGCTATAGCCTCCCAAGGTGCTGGGATTACCGGCAAGAGCCACCACACCTGGCCCCCATCTGTCAGCTTTAATACCTGATAAAGTCAAAGGAGATGGGAGCTTTTTTGGATTTATTTGGAATATTATGTTGCACTAAGTGTGTTCAAATAGGAAATGAAAACAAGTGAATTTGCAACAGAATTCTATACAATTCTATATAATTCGAAATTCAACACAATTTTACAACCAAGCCAGAGCAAGAGACACTGTCTACTTTAGCACAGCAGTTTTCACTTTAGTGTCAGACACATGAACAAGCTAGAGAAGAAGTTATGATCACTGTTTTTACCTAATTTCTAGAACTCATGATTCAGCAAGTCAAGGGTGGGTCCAGGAAACTGCGATTTTGATAAGCACACAAGGGCTTTCTGATGCTGATGGTCTATAGGACTGCATTTTGAGAAGCAGTAATTTGGCATTATCTTTGACACCAGGGTATATAGATAGTAAATGAAAAGAAATTAAAATATATTGATTTCAGTACAGCAAAATGATCAACTTTTTAATATTTGCCAAAATTTACAAAGGATAAAGCAAAAAGATAAAGAGTAAACACAGAGTAGTCACTAAAATTTGTTTGGTTGTTAAATTCTGGAGTGACATATATATATTATAGTACAAGTAGTGACTTACATTTCCCTTCTTCATTTCTGCAGAGAACTTTTGTATCATCTGTGTTTTGTATAACTTCTAGAGAGTCACCAGGTTTCACCTGCAGATCTCTGGTTCCCCACTTTTTAGAAGTTATGGAAGATGTAACTTTAGTTAAATATAGAACTCTAATTTCACCATCATACTAAAAAAAAAAAGAACAATATTTAACTTATTGGTTTATGTGCATTATTAAAACAACTTATGTACTGACAGATTTATTAAATAGGTATTTGCTAAAGAAATAATTCAGTGTTTTCTAAATATAATGTAACATTATTAAAGAAAATTTTGAGGGACATACATCATTCACAACCTCACATACCTAATATAACAACTATTTTTAGTACCTTCTTATTAAGGTTCAAAGAACAGCTTAATTTAGATGACTATCACAATATGAATACTGTGCCTGTATTATAGTTTGCTTAATCTTTTATAAAAATAAATTTAAATCTAAAATAAATTTTGTACAAAGTAAAAGAGTTATAATGGCTAACTGTAATATTGATAATTATATTTTAAAGTGTGCATTTTGACACTTAAAAATCATCAGATTTTTCAATAGTGCTTTGTACTTTACATAATATTTAGATATGACATACTTTAAATTTTTTCCTGAAGTCTTTTTCTTCTTTTTCCAGCTTTTTTAGCTTCTTAAGGTCCTTTTCTTCTGCCTTAGCTTTTCCAATATTAGGTCCTTGACTAGGATGGCAGAACACACATAAAACAACACTTTGTTTAGAAAATATAAAAAGAATAGTCCATAACAGAGAAAATTCATGACATTATATTTTCAACTTTTTGTTTCAGTTAATTCTTTCTGTTAGAAATTCAGTAACTGTCATTATAACAAATGTCACTATAATTTCATAATATAGCAGGGTTTCCTCAAGCAAATATAGATTATGAAAATTAAAATGGAAGTGAGAGATTAGATTCCTTCTCATCTGAACCATATAAAATCACTGAGTCATTGTTTAAGCATGGTTGCATGTCAGCAGTTTCATACAATTTAACCTATTCTTAAACCTCCCTATATTTTCAACGCTTTCTAGATACTTAAGTAGCTTTGTCAATGTCATAAGAAAGGCTTTTTTTTTTAAAGGAGACTTCAAAAAATATCAATTTTTTTGATTTACAACATTTATATGTTATTTTGTTCACATCTACTTAAAATGTATCCAGAGTTTTGGTTACTAAAAAAATCTTAGGTAAAAGTTAAGATTTTAGATATTATAAGAGAAACTTCTTTAAAAAGATGGCTATTATTGATCTTTTACTTCATCACTTTATCAACTGTGTGTGTGTGTGTGTGTGTGTGTGTGTTTGTGAAAGGGGGGGAATGGAGAGAGAAAGTAAGAAAGATAAGCACATCCTGAGTGTTTGGATCAATTAATGAACTTAATTTTAAAAAAACCCCTAGGATCTAGGTATAGAAATCCACTATATTTTGTAGATAACAATTGGTCTGAAGCCAATTACCACAATATAAGTGAACAATTCTAAAACAGTGATTTGCTAGCCTATCCACACACAGGATCACCTGGGAAGTTTTTGGCACATACTACTAGCCAAATCATGACTGAACTCCCATTCACAATTGCTACAAAGAGAATAAAATACCTAGGAATACAACTTAAAGGGATGTGAAGGACCCCTTCAAGGAGAACTATGAACCACTACTCAAGGAAATAAGAGAGGACACAAACAAATGGAAAAACATTCCATGCTCATGAATATGAAGAATCAATATCATGAAAATGGCCATACTGCTCAAAGTAATTTATAGATTCAATGCTATCCTCATCAAGTTACCATTGACTTTTCTTCCCAGAATTACAAAAAAAACTACTTTAAATTTCATATAGAACAAAAAAAAAGCCTGTATAGCCAAGACAATCCTAAGCAAAAAGAACAAAGCTAGAGGCATCATGCTACCTGACTTCAAACTATACACAAGGCTACAGTAATCAAAACAGCATGGTACTGGCACCAAAACAGAGATAGGGACCAGTGGAACAGAACAGAGGCCTCAGAAATAATGCCACACATCTACAACCATCTGATATTTGGCAAACCTGACAAAAACAAGCAATGGGGAAAGGATTTCCTATTTAATAAATGGTGTGGGGAAAACTGGCTAGCCATATGCAGAAAACTGAAACTGAACCCCTTCCTTACACCTTATACAAAAATTAACTCAAGATGGATTAAAGACTTAAACGTAAGACCTAAAACCAAAAAACCCTAGAAGAAAACCTAGGCAATACCATTCAGGACATAGGCATGGGCAAAGACTTTACTACTAAAACACCAAAAGCAATGGCAACAAAAGCCAGAATTGACAAATGGGATCTAATTAAACTACAGAGCTTCTGCACAACAATAGAAACTATCATCGGAGTGAACAGGCAACCTACAGAATGGGAGAAAATTTTTGTAATCTGTACATTTGAAAAAAAGCTACTATCCAGAATCTACAAATAACTTAAACAAATATACAAGAAAAAAACAAACAACCCCATCAAAAAGTGAGTGAGGGATATGAACAGACACATCTCAAAAGAAGAAATGTATGTGACCAACAAACATGAAGAAAAGCTCACCATCACTGGTCATTAGAGAAATGCAAATCAAAACCATAACATCTCATGCCAGTTGGAATGGCGATCATTAAAAAGTCAGGAAACAACAAAAGTCAGGAAACAACAGATGCTGAAGAGGATGTAGAGAAATAGAAACACTTTTACAGTGTTGGTGGTAGTATAAATGAGTTCAACCATTGTGAAAGAGTGTGGCGTTTTCTCAAGGATCTAGAACCAGAAATACCATTTGATCCAGCAATCCCATTATTGGGTATATACCCAAAGGATTATAAATCATTCTATTAAAAAGACACATGTACACATATGTTTATTGTGGTACTGTTTACAATAGCAAAGACGTAGAACCAACCTGAATGCCCATCAATGGTAGACTGGATAAAGAAAATATAGCACATATACACCATGGAATACTATGCAGCTATAAAAAACGATGAGTTCGTGTCCTTTGCAGGGACATGGATGAAGCTGGAAACCATCATTCTCAGCAAACTAAGACAAGAACAGAAAACCAAACACTACATGTTCTCACTCATAAGTGGAAGTTGAACAATGAGAACACATGGACATGGGAAGGGGAACGTCACACACACTGGGGCCTGTCAGGGAGTGGGGGGTTAGAGGAGGGATACTATAAGGAGAATACCTAATGTAGATGATGAGTTGATGGGTGCAGCAAACCACCATGGCACGTGTATACCTATGTAACAAACCTGCACGTTCTGCACATATACCCCAGAACTTAAAGTATAATAATAATAAAAAGCATACTGCTGCTCTTGCCCAATGTTTGGACATTCTAATTTCAATTAATTTAAAAATTTAATTTAATCTGATTAGGGTCCAGGTAGTGATGGACACATTTTAAGAGATTCCCAGGTGACATTAATTTGTAACCAAGATTGATAACCATTCACTAGGGTTAAATTATGGATGGTAGGGAGGGGCTGTAGATTTCTTCAGTGAGCATTTTAAAAATTAGAATATAAAAATTTCTATTTAGATGATCTGAGATAAAGTTTTGTTTGTAACCAATTTATTTTAAATGTTTAATTCTCAATTTTGGAATCTTAGCATTTAGTTTATTCACTGTGGGAAGAATTAGTACAATATCTATCTTAGGTTTCGTGTCTGCCCTCAGTACTGCCTGCCTATGGTAGTCTGGGCATTTGTGAAATTACTGCCCCAGATTAGCTCTCTGGGGCAATCAGAATATACATGAAAGTTAGACATCCCCTAAAAGCTATCTTTTAAAAATTTATTGAAATTTATTTAAAAATAGAATATGACATTAGAGAATATAAACTTGCTTTAAATTCTGAAAATAAGCAAAAAGGGGAAGAAAATTGTCCATATCACATAAAGCTTAGTCAGCTGGGGTTTATTTTGTTTGAAGAATACGGCTAGTGTGTGACTCTGGGTTCCTGGAGAGGCATTTTATAGAATGTGATGCCATTTCTACAGTAATGTAAAGTGAAAAAATGCATTAACAACTGTCAAGGACTGAAATGCCAGTGGTAAGAAATATTAAAACTTGAACACATTACTGAAGATTAGATTTTTGTTTCATGAAGAATTGAAAACAGGGCAATAATTCTCCTTTCATCCTTCTTATTTGTTTTGCCAGTAGAACTTGATCTTCATATATGAATGATGACATATTTTTCCTTCAGAGTCTTTGATCTTGATACTCTCTGTAGTCCAATAAAATTAGTTTAAAAATGTTGGTTAAAAAAATAAATAAATACTTAATGTTTACTCATGCATTTTTACCAGTACAGCTCAGAAGACACCACTTACTGCATTCCATTTATGTTACTTTAATCCTTTAATCAAACACAAGATCTTTTGAGTCATCTTTTCTTGAAAAAGCTATATAGGTGCTCTTGCTTTTATACCCAGTATGTATCAAATCATTTGATGTATTTATTGGATTATGAGAAGGCATCCCACCATGTTATTTTATATTTCAAAAACAATTCCAAAAGGTATTATTTTTGTATTACTTAATCTTAACTGATTTTACACAATTTTAGGCTAAAAGTAGTTTTTGAAGACTTGAATGCAACCTACCTAAAGGTCCCTTTAAAAAATGAATCTTTTTTTTCTTTTTTTCATAAAGGAAACTATCCCGTAGAAGACAGAGGTGGTTTAAAAAAGATGGGTGACTGCTGAGATGTAAACTAAGAAGTATAATCAAGAAAAAAATGGTTTGGGGAAAACAGTAAAAACAAAGAGAGAAGAAGAATCTGTGAGACTGGTTGTGACCAAGATCTTAAACATATTTTCCCAGTGAATAAATGAATAAATGAACCAGACATCAGTGAGTCACAGGCCCAAGGCTAACCAGGAAACAAGGGACAGAACCAGGGGGATGGAAGAAAAGGAGGGAAGGAAGAGATGGAGGTGGGGGCAAAGAACTGGGGCTATCTACTCACAACCCTAGCAGAGAGGGTAGAGCTGAGATGGGAAGAAAACAGCTTTGGAGACGAGGCCAGAGCCAACGTCATCGCACACAGTAGACACACATCCCACTGGGTTTTTATTTCAGTTGAATTTTCTTGAGTAATCTCATTTTCATTACTTCATTGTAATGAAAGCATTTTAATTACCTCATCTCTGCTGATGGAACAGGGAAATCAGAGGTATCCACATCATCGTAAACTTCATCTCCCATGTCTAACAAAAGGCAGAATATCAAAGGTCGAAACACTGTTAGTTTAGATTTTGATATGAGCATTCAGTGAGGTTTTTAATATAAAGATTGCTTCAAGAACAATAAAAAGTTTTCCTAGTGTCTCGGTACATTTCTCCTGGAAGCGCTGTCTGATTCGGAAAGGGGAGAGGTTGTTATTGCCAGGATGTATGTATTAAATCATCCTCAAAAAACCAGTGACGTAATGATAATCATTATTATCCGGAAAAAAACTCATGGCACAGTGACTAAGATTATCTGAAGATCTACAAGTGCAATGAAAGGCAGGAGTTGCAAATTGCTGATAAATAAATCAATATTACTGGTCATTGGCAGGATGAAGTAGAGATATGAATTGTGATTCTTGTAAGATTTAGGGGGCTGTGATAATATATATCATCCTATTTAAATATCCTTCCCCTTCCTTCCTTCTTTCCTTCCTCTCACTGATCTGTTTTCCATTACCTTTTACCTTACAGTGATATTAGGAGTGGCACTGCCTTTAAATGGAAAGATTATTTCTTTTAATTAAATACTTCTGATACAAACAGGTATTGAGAAACAGTATTGGCAGAAAAATTGTCATGACCTTAACTGGTTCAATGGCTTTTCCAATCATTAGAGCTGTTTCTTCCTTCAAGGCTTCTTATTAGTAAAGTCAGGAAGAATGCTTCCCCTCTGTACATATCAATTGCTCTACAGTCAATGAAGCTGAAGAGATTGAATCGAAGAAATTGCAAATATTTTAAGGAGTCGTTACCATAAAGAGTTTAAATGTTCTCTGGTAGTGGCAAATAATTGATTTCCTTTATAAATTCCACCCCCATATCTCCCTCCCTTGTGTGTGTATTCAGGTTAACTAACTTAACAGGATAAAACTTGCTCAGCTGCATGAAAAATAAATGCTTTAAAAAATATCATCTAGAAAGGTCAAAGTTATTACTCTGTGCACATGCATTTAAAACACATTTAAGAACAACAAGCAATTCTTTTTTTGTTTTTAATTTAAATTTATTTATTTTACTTTAGGTGCATAGTATATCTGTCATTTCTCCCCATGTTATCCCTCCCCACCCTCTGCTGTCTCTCCCCTACCCCTGCAACTGTCCCCAGTGTGTGATGCTCCTCTCCCTGAGTCCACATTAAGAACAACAGGCAATTCTAACAAAACTTTATTTTTTACAGAATTGATTACATTTGTTCCATTTTATACCTACTTTTTGTGGCATTAACTTTTTTGAATACTTTTAAAATATTATAGACTAGAATACAAGTTTATTATCAGGCACTGACCAGTTTGATTTGGTCTCTTACATATTTTCAAATTGATAACTGAAAAGAAAGTTCTAATATCAGATAAAGGGTCTAGAAGAAGAGATTACCGCTGTGTTGGTTTGCTCTTTTAATATACTCATAGGTTAAAATAAGTAAACTTTTTGAAAGCCCCTGAATATTCTTGAGACAAGATTTTACTTTGTTCAAAGTAAATTTTAAAAACATCTAAAGATCTGTCTCAGAAGGGATGAAAAAATAATAACTGATTGAAATTGTATAAGGAAACAGTTATATTTCACATTTTCCAAACGCAATATAAACTATCCATTTAAATATCCGAAGAAATTAGATTTAGAAGAGTCCCTTACTGGCATATAATCTGGCGTGGGTTAACTATCCTTATGCAGAAGTCTCATGTATCAAGTTTGGACTGAGCTGGGGCGGGCGGACATAGGGAAAGTTGGTGTCCTTCCCTTCCCACTTATCCCTAACTCCATAGGAGCCACTATTTGCCACTTCTGCTCCTGGGAGAACAGTTTAAAAACTGTCAGTCTTATTTTTCTAGGTAGAGGTGAAAGAAGAAAAAAGGAAAAACAAAAACTATCAGTCTTTTTTATTTTTCTCATCTTGTTATTTTATCATTGAGCAACTGTGGCCACTCAAGGCGAAGTTACTTGCTTGAGGTTACACAATTTATTATTTTCAGAGTCAGGACTTTAATGCACATACTGTGACTATATCCAACGCTTTCCCACTACCACACTGCAAGAAATAAAGATACAGAACATACAATTAGTTTTTATTACTCACCCAATTGTTTAGGAGGAGCAGGGAAACTACAAAGAAAGTAAGAACACAATTATAATCAGACTAATGTGAACGCAGAAATTGATTCCGTTATATAAGAGAGTATAAAGAGGCAACAGCCTGGAGGCATATTAGGTTAATTAATCTGTTGATCATTCTTTCTTTCTCAGCCTCCATTTCTCCACTAAGTCCATTTCTGTTTATCAATTTGGAATTTAGCAAGAAACTTTTTGGGCCAGGTGCGGTGGCTCACGCCTGCAATCCCAGCCCTTTGGGATGCCATGGTGGGTGGATCGCCTGAGGTCAGGAGTTTGAGACCAGCCTGGCTAACATGGTGAAACCTCATTTCTACTAAAAAAAATTTACCAAAAAATTAGCTGGGGATGGTGGAGCATGCCTGTAGCACCTGTAATCCCAGCTACTCAGGAGGCTGAGGCAGGAGAATTGCTTGAACCCAGGAGGTGGAGGTTGCAGTGAGCTGAGATCGTGCCATTGCACTCCAGCTTGGACAACAAGAACAAAACTCACCTCAATAAATACATAAATAAAAGAAATTTTTTAAGCCCAAATGTTTGCCAAAACATCCAGAGTCAAGATACTCAATTCGTTTATTTTGCCCACAGTCACTGGCCCAAAATTTCCAGATTTTTTTAAATATGAGGTTTGGGCATATTATCACACCAGAGTAAATGAAGGGACTCAGTATTTTGGAGTCATCGTGGCATACGTATCTCTGCCTCCAAACTGCTTATTTGAATTAAAGAGTAGAAATACAGACTCAAAATTAACAGAGGTCATAGGAATATGACAATGTTTCCCAGTATTTGCATATGTATCCCCAAACAGGAAAATGGTGAATAAGAGGAATATTTACTTAAACCAGAGAGTGAGAATTTATTAATTAAAGTGATCTGAAATTAGGATTAGGTGGCATGTAGCTGCAACAGAACACCAGTGCTTCTATTTCCTGAAACATGACTTCTAAATACAACACACACACACACACACACACACACACACACACACACACACACCACGGAAAGAATGGTGCATGGAACAGAAATGACTGGTTAGAATAGAGTGTGAGGAATTATTAATTTAATCCCAAATCAGATTTGGGTGTAATTGAAGCAGAAAAAAAAACTCTATCTCTTATTTTTAAGTAAGGGATATATTTGAGTAATGTTGCTCAAGAGAAGAGAAGGTTTCTTGTGTTTTCCTGGAATTTCAAGTGTACTGTGTATTGACTTGTTGCTTTGGTGTTTTACAACCCAATTGGGAACGCTATATGGAATTAACATCTTATAAAGACTTCAGCTAAATGTGGTGAATTTATGAGGTAAATAAAAACTGAAAGATTTTCTTTTACCAGGGAATGTGATTAAGATCTTTCAAATTCATATGTATGGAATTTATACTACAGCATTATTTTTGGACTGGACAGAGAAAAGTTATGCCTTAGATTTTATTTAGACCGTTCGGCCATGCTACCATAGCCTTAGATTTTATTTAAACAAACTTGAGATATTTAGAATACTTTTAGTACAGGAAAACTAATTATTATATCATTATAGTGGAACAGAATTACAAGGCTTCAATTATTATATTTAAAGAAAAAATTCAAAATCATGTTCTTTATTTCAAGCTAATTATTTAAAAAGAATGTATATTTTGAAGAGTATTCAATAAAAAATTCTATATAGTAAAATGTGACATTGGAATTGTGAGTTTTCAGATGGAACGCTATATTTTAAAAAGTCCTACTAAATGTGTGTGTCAGTGTTTGTGTATGACTGTGTGCATGAGCGTGAGAGGGTATATGTGTACTTATGTGTACTTGTGTGCTTTTGTGCATGTTTGTGAAGAAAGTAAAGTATATCTTTAAACTGTATAATGATTTTTGAGTACTTGGCCTTCTCTTATGTAATGCATGAGCTTAAAGATGACACCATGAATGGGGCTAAGGTGATTAATGGAAAATTACATTAAGATGATTTAAGTCTACCAGAATTTGGTTATTGGTTATAGAATATTAGTAGCATTTGATTAAATACATATTAGTGTAATTATTGTATACTGGATTTGGTTGGTTGACTCTTACGATGAACCTTCATTATTGTCTGACTCAGAGACTTTGGGTTTCTCTCGTATACTTTTCTTTTTGTCATCTTTTCCCTTTAACATCTTCAAAATCCCCCAGGACCACGTGTTACTCTTCTCTTGAACCTGTAGCATGGAGCTTTGGAGCATGCAGGCATTGATCAGAATGTAATAATCAGTGGCAAGTGAAGACATTTTGTGGATATTTAGATTCTTTATAATTACACTCCATTAATAATTCAGGCAGTAAACAACCAATTGCATTGAACAAGATAGTGTTATTAAGCTTATAGATTATGGTGATTGAATAATGCTTCTACTATCTTGATAATTTTTTTTTCTATTAAGTGAGAATTCTCTCACTTCTTAAAATGTGAAACAAGTCCGTAAGGATTAAGTTTTAAACAACTGGGTGTGGTGGCTCACATCTGTGATCCCGGCACTTTGGGAAGCCAAGGTAGGAGGATTGCTTAAGCCCAGGAGTTTGAGACCAGCCTGGGCAACATAGTGAGACCTCATCTCTACAAAAAATAAAAAACATTAGCTGGGTGTGTTGGTGCACACCTGTGGTCCCAAACTGCTCAGAGGCTGAGGTAGGAGGATTGCTTGAGCCTGGGAGTTTGAGGCTGCAGTGAGCTATGATCCTACCACTGCACTCCTGCCTGGGCAACAGAGTGAGGCCTGGTCTCAGAAAAGAAAGCCACAAAAGCTTAAGCATCAATTTTGCTTTATTTATGATTAAAATGAATTAATTAAGGGATCTTAAATTTTAAAATATGCCATTTAAAATGGAAAAGAAAATTTATTTTATGACCTAAAATATTTTTATTTTTGTGAATTGTTATAATTATTATAAATGAACAGGTATGTTTTTTTAAGCTAAAGGATTAAGTATTCAATACTGGCTCTGCCACAGGTAGCATATGGTCTCAGTTTATTTGGGCTGCCTATATTATAATCATGTTATTACACAAGGGATAGCCATGCAACTGATAAACTCTTCAGGGATTGTTGTAAAAGTAAATTATTGATCAATAAAGACTTGATTAGAAAAGGTTTTTGTTTTGTTTTGTTTTCTGAGACGGAGTTTCACTCATGTTACCCAGGCTGGAGTGCAATGGCGCGATCTCAGCTCACCGCAACCTCCGCCTCCTGGGTTCAGGCAATTCTCCTGCCTCAGCCTCCTGAGTAGCTGGGATTACAGGCACGTGTCACCATGCCCAGCTAATTTTTTGTATTTTTAGTAGAGACGGGGTTTCACCATGTTGGCCAGGATGGTCTCAATCTCTTGACCTCGTGATCCACCCGCCTCGGCCTCCCAAAGTGCTAGGATTACAGGCTTGAGCCACCGCACCCGGCCTAGAAAAGGTTTCAAAAAATATCCACAACACCTGTAATTTATCTTTTTTTCATTTGACTTCTTTTGCCATAGTTACTGAGGATCTTCCAAACAATCAACCACTTCATTTGAAGTGTGTTGTAATTACACTTCCTGGCTTACAATTGCTGTTACTTAAACATTCAAATCATTTGGGGTAATGTACGAAAGAACACTATTTTCTGCTTTTTATTTTAACTGAAAATCAAAACTAAATTTCATATATATATAATAATTTGCAAAAAGCAGTTCACTGATTATTCTTACCCATCATCAGCATCTTCCTCTTCAATGCCATCATAAATGTCATCATCTGGTGGTGGAGGGAATAGCCCTTCATTTGGATTGGGGGAAAATCTTCTGTTAATTTGATAATTTAGTCATGTAATGGTCACTCAGATTTTAATTATAAATCTTCCTTATTTAACTGCAGAGAGCATTTCACTTTCATATAAACCATTTAGATAAAAATCTTTATTTTCCTACTATCCCATAATTAATTACTTTGTTGATCATTTTATAAAGAATTCTTAGGGCTGAAATTACAATAACAAAATGAGGGCTAAGAGGCACTGTGGACTTGAGTTGAAAGGAATGAGGGTGCATAAACATGAGAAAAAGTAAACTTAAATAGGAAATGGAGTTAAATATTTATTGTGGAAAGGGACGTGAGGAGGTGACACAAATCTAGCTAACTAGTTAATAGTGAAGAGAAATTTAGGAAGATGCTAATCAAGATACAAGTGAAGAAAAGCAAATGAATGAAAGGTGACTCTGTAAACATTGATGGTAGTTGAAACAAAAATAAGTGAAAAGTGACTTTTAAAATACCTATTTTTGAAAGTTAAACTCTCTCCTTTCATTTGTTACTCTATGCTCCTCAGGAAACTTGCTATTTGACAGATATTTACTTAACAATTGTTTATTGAGTACTTTCTATGTGCAGGAAATATGTAAAATGACCTTGAAATTTGACTTTTAGTATGAAGATTTTAGCACTGCAATGTATTAGATCAACTCCCTTATTTTGTTGCTGGGAAATATAGGGGCCACTGAACTAGAGTCAAGGTGACTTGGTAGGTTATCATCCAAACCAAAACACTTCTGAAAGTGAAGGAGAATGCTGTTATTAATTGTGCTCTGACATCAGGTGATCTATCTGCTTTGGCCTCCCAAAGTGCTGGGATTACAGGAGTGAGCCACCATGCCCAGCCAGGAGTTTGAGACCAGCCTGGCCAACATGGTTGAACCCCTTCTCTACTAAAAATACAAAAATTAGCTGGGTGTGGTAGCTACTTGGGAGGCTGAGGCACTAGAATTGCTTGAACCCCAGAAGAGATTATGCTACTGCACTCCAGCCTGGGTGACAGAGTGAGACTTTGTCTCAAAAAAAAAAAAAAACAAATTGTGGTCTGATGACTGGTATAAATCAAGACTGCCTTGAACACATTGGAGTAGAGTCACCATATGATCTGTAACAAACTTAAAAGAAAGAGTTTCTTGCTCATAGTCAGTTGGTGGCCAGGACTAGAATCCAGTTCATTGACTCCCAAGCTAGTGTTGTTTCCATCATATTAAGATCTCTCTCATTATTTGTAAACTAAGGTATTTTTTTCATTAATATACACAAACATAATGAAGACTTATGGAGAAATTACTGATAAAGTGCATAGTTTCTCATGCTCATATATTAGAATTAATACTGTTAAAAGGACCATACTATCTAAAGCAATTTACAAATTTAATGCAGCCCCTATCAAAATACCAATGTCATTTTTCACAGAATAGTAAAAACAATCCTTCAATTTGTATGAAATAAAAAAAGAGCATTAATAGCCAAGCAATCCTGAGCAAAAGAATAAAGCTGGAAGCATCACCCTCCCAGACCTCAAATTATACTACAAAGCTGTTGTAACCAAAACAGTATAGCATTGGTATAAAAACAGAAACGAAAATCAATGAAACAGAATAGACAACCCAGAAGTAAAGCCATATATTTATAGCCAACTGATTTTAGAAAAAGTCACCAAGCTCATACACTGGGGGGAAAAATCCTCATCAATAAATGGTACCGGGAAAACTGGATATCCATATGTAAAATAATAAAACTAAGCCCTATCTCTCACCATATACAAAAATCAACGCAAGATAGATTAAGGATTTAAAAATAAGTCCTAAAAGTAGAAAACAATAAAAAGAAAACATAGAGAAAACACTTCAAGACACTGATCTAAGTAGAGATTTTATGACTAAAACCCCAAAAGCACAGGCAACAAAAACAAAAATAGACAAATGGGATTATATCAAACTAAAAGCTTCTGTATAGCAAAGCAATCAACAGAGTGAAGAGATGACTTGTTGAATGGGAGAAAATATTTGCAAACGATTCATCCCAAAAGGGATAAATATTCAGAATATACAAAAACTCAATCAACTCAACAGCAAAATTCCCCAATGGGCAAAGGATCTAAAAAGACATTCCTCAAAAACAGACATACAATGGCCAACGGGTATGTTATAAAAATGCTCTACATCACTAATCATCAGGGAAATGCAAATCAAAACCACAATGAGATAAGTATTATCTTACCCCAGTTAGAATAGCTGTTATCAAAAAGAAAAATAATACAAATGCTGGCAAGGATGTGGAAAAAAAAAGGAACATTTACTGTTGGTGGAAATATACATTAGTGCAGTGATTATGGAAAATATTCTGGAGATTTTTCAAAAAAAATAAAAATAGAAATATCATGCAATCCAGCAATCTCACTACTGGATATTTATCCAAAGAAAAGGAAATCAGTATATCAAATGGATATCTGCATCCCCATGTTTATTGCAGCACTATCCACAGTCATACAGATATAGAATCAACCTAATTGTCTATCATTGGATGAACGAATAAAGAAAACATGGTATATACACAATGGAATACTATTTGGTCATAAAAAAGAATGAAATCATGTCATTTGCAGCAACATGAATGAAACTGGGGGCCATATTAGAAGAAATAAGTCAGATATAGAAAGACAAATATTGCATGTACTCACACATATGTGGAAGCTAAAAAAGTAGATTTCATGGAGGTAGAGAGTAGAGTGATAGTTACCAGAGGCTGAGACAGGTGTGAATGTATTTTGGGGGACATAAAGAGAGATGGTGAATGGGCACAAGCATACAGTTAGATAGAAAAAATAAGTTCTAATGTTTAATAGCAGAGTAGGGTGACTATAGTTAATAATAATATATTGTACATTTCAAAATAGCCAGAAGTGTGAACTCTAAATGTTCTCAACACATAAAAATGATAAATGCTCGTGCTGATGGATAGCCTAAATACACCGACTTGAACATTACACATTCTATGCATGTAATAAAATATCACATGGGCTCCATAAATATATGCAAATATATGTATCAATTGTAAAATGGAATTTTAAGAAGTGTGTGCTTACCTCCACTTCCACTCTGACTGTGGCTAGAAAAAAATCCCAAAATATCAAATTAATCTATGAATTAATTAGCTATGAGGAAGAGAAGTACATTTCCTCATTGGTTATTCAAAAGAAAAATAACATTCCAGCTGAAAGTTCTTAGAATGTTACATGTGAAGAGGAAAAGACGTTTCTTAACATCATAGACGAGTAATGACAAGGCGGTAAAACAACACAAACAAAAACAAGAATTAAGTAAATTACAGCACTACATATGATATTGAAAATGATGATATTGTTTGCTTTTGACATTTTTCTATGCGGTTTTCAGATGATATATTATTACATCATTCCATAGATGAACCATTAAAACAAACCCCAAGGATATTATTCCAAGAGTCACACAGAGCAATTATCATTCCGTTAAATTCAATTATCTTTCAATATCTTATGACCACAGCATTTTGCTCTTAGTGTAATAGCAGTCATTTTTTTAAAGGGAGAACTTTTAAAAACTTGAAATCTCATTCATGGGGCTTTTATTTGATATGACTCGTCTCTAAATTCAGATTGCCTGTGTTTCTTATTTACTTCCATAACATCCTATAGTTTCTCTACTTTAGCATGTATGTTATAATTGTCTGTTTTCTTGCCTATATCTCCCACTAAAATGTGAGTTCTGTGAGAGCAAAGGAAATGTAGACTCTGAGAATGGAAAAAAATCCCAGAAGTCATCTCTTCAATTTCCTCATTGTACAGAAAAGAAACCAGGCTCAGGCACGGCACGGTGGCTCATGCCTATAATCCCATCATTTTGGGAGGTCGAGGTTGGTGGATCACGAGGTCAAGAAATGGACACCATCCTGGCCAATATGGTGAAACCCTGTCTCTACTAAAAATACAAAAATTAGTTGGACGTGTTGGCGTGCGCCTGTGGTCCCAGCTACTTGGGAGGCTGAGGCAGGAGAATTGCTTGAACCCAGGAAGCGGAGGTTGCAGTGAGCCAAGATCGCGCCACTGCACTCCAGCTTGGTCAACAGAGTGAGACTCTGGCTCAGAAAAAGAAAAAAAAAAAAAAAAAGAAAGAAATCAGGCTCTGAGAAATTGACTCGATCACTCCCACTTTTATGCCTAGCTGCACTCACTATACCCCCAGTTTTCCACATTAGTTAATCTGCCACAAACAGATATCCGTTTATGTTAGTGTCTTAGTGGACAGTTATAGTACTCATATCTGATTTCCTAATGTTAAAAGTGAGTGAAAGAAATTGATCTGATGCAGATCTCCTGTTAAATTTGAAATAAAAACATAAAGTTGCTGTCAGAAACTTTGTAGAAAAACATGCTATAAATGTCTTCCTATATAAATGAGGAACTGCTTTTTGAAGAAGTTGCAGTATACTCTATACTCTCCGCTTTCTTATGTGCCATTTTGACATTTATTTTTCCTGAGTCTTCCCTCTGAGCACGATGCATGAAGCAGGCTGTTGGAATTATGTGAAGAGCTGCACTCTGCTTGGCTGCCACTCTTGGCAGATACTTTTCATCTTGGATTTTTATACCAATTTCCAAAGAACAGGGTTGTTGGAATCAGGAGCAAAGCTCCTGTTTTATTTCATTTCTAGAACAATTATTCACTTCCTAAAATGGCCTGTTTAGAATGTAACATATTTGATGAAGTGAAGAAGAGGTAGAGAGAGCAGGGCATGACAGGAGAGGAGAGGGAGAGAGAGAGAGAGGTACATGGAAGGAAGAAGGTTTGCTATGAAATGGAAGAGGGGTATTTACATTTGCAATTCTTTTTTTCTTCAATGTTTCATATTTGCTGTAGATATTGTTTTAGTGGAGAAGAAAAAGAGAAGGAAGGACAGCTGTCAGGGGCTGTGCTCTGAAGCCTCAAGTCTGCTCCTAGAGTTTCAAGCACTCACAGCCATCGCTGTTCACTCTAGGGAATCAGGGAAGAGCCGGTAGAGTGCCCGAGCCAGGAGTCAAGAGCAGGAGGGAGAAGAAGATGATGCCTTTTCTTCTTATTCTTGCCAGGGCAAGCTGCCGGCTACACTCAGCATCTTCCCTTTCTCTACTAAGAACAAAGCATGTTCTGTTATGAGATCTCTGGCAGCAGCAGCTGCAGTTTCAAAAATAAAACATGTATAGAAATGGCTTCTTTAATTTTCTTATTAAGGGTGCATAAGAGAGGGATAGATGCTAGTAAATATTGTGGGGCTATGCTTGTTTAAAATACTGAGTGTTAAAACCATACAACTCTTCCAACTTCCTTCTTTTACTAAAGATTCTTTTCCCATTACTTGTTTACTAAACTGGAGCAGGTTTTTAGAGTTATGGTATGTATGGATTCAATAAAATAGAAAAAGGTGATAATGCTAGTTTTGGGAAATAGTCATCCAACATGGCTAAACAAAGAAGTTCCATTTTAAGAACATCATTTTTTTCCTGGATTTATTATTTTTTTCTTGAGAATGCACATCAGTGTAAATATGTGTTCATTGATGTAGCTGGAAATCTTTCACCAAAAATTAAAGAAATGTTCTTTTAAAAAAACAAATAAAAGACACACACAAGGTGTATATACATTGGTAATATACTTGATATACTTACATCCAGAAAATTCTGGAAATTACAGAATATGACAATTTGGAATTTCAGCTGACCTCAAAACTGGCATTTACTGACTCACACTAGGTCAATGTGTTTCTTATGACTAAAGTCTACTAATGATCTCCAAACTCTGGTGCATGCGTTGTATATTTTGATATATGTTGCATAATTTATGCTTAGAACATGGTAAGAAGGCATAGCAGGCTATAATTCATTTTAGAAAGACAAAACTACTAGAAAGACACATAACAAATTTAACTGATACCATGATATAAAAGATCATAAGAGGAAAATGTAATTCTTCATATGCTTTATAAGTGTATTACTATATTTATATTGGTATTTTAGAACTGGCTGACAATTAACATTGTTTCTTTTGAAATTTGAGTTACGAAGAATGCAGACACAGTTTTACCTAGGTGAAGAGCTAGCACAGATTATGCTTTTTGGGATTACAATGGAGGTTTTCTAGTTTTATAAGGTAGTCATAAAAAAAATAAAGATTTTGAACTGGGCTAGAGATTTTTCTCCTTTTTTCCTTTCAACTTGAGATGATTATGGCTTTAACTGAAAAGGGAGGCGTTGGAGGAAAGAAGGAATGAAAGGAGAAGGGGAATGGAAAAGTACAAAAGACATAAAAGAACAACAGAAAATCAGAACTGGAACAAAGAGAAGAAGAGGAGAGATGGAGAGAGAAAGGAAGCAGAAGACTGAGAAAGGAAAGAAGGGAAGGAGAGGTACAAGGGAGGGATGGCCAAACTCCTCTCATTGGTCCTCCAGAAAAGATGTTCTATTCTGTTCCCCTATACCAGGAAGGTGTTCCCATAATTCTTAGAGTGAAGGTCACTTTAATCTAGTGGAGTAAATGGGCCATGAAAAGTTGGACCCTTAAATGACACCTAGGGACCATAAAGAATGAAGTTTTTACTTTTAAAGAGCAAACTGAGGTTGCAATGGAGTCATTTTTTAGATATATTTTCAAAAATAACAACAAACATTTAGAATCAGAGATTTCAGACAAAAAATGGGGTAAATTTTATATTTTATGCTTCATATTTCACCAAATCATACTTATATTAGGCATATCCCTAAGATCAACTCATAATGAACATTATAAAAGTGTTTTAGAATGACAACACATTTTACAAGATCTGGCAAATGGCCCACTATATTTCAAGTAGTATTTGATGCATATCATATAGAAACACTATGGAGTTTCAAATGACCTTTCACCCATGTTGGGATTATTGTAAGTGGTCATTTAGTTTAGTGATAGAGAGCAGTAGGAGATATGGAAGGTAAAATTCTAGAATCTTAAAATACAAAATCTCTGACAAGGAGACAGTTTGATCTGTTCTACAATACACACTTGCACATACCTGCTAACATCATCCTGCTCTGCAACATCATCGTATACTTCTTGGTCATCTTCAGTAGGTCTTGAAAGAGCACCAAGAGAGTTTTTTTTCAGTTTCAAAGAATCATAGTCAATCTCTACAGCAGTTGTTTTAATATAGCCATCTACCAAAAAGGGAAAGATTTATGTTCAGGCAACTGTAGTTTAAATAGTTTAAAGTTGTGAATAAAATATTAATTGCACATTTGCTCTTTAAACACTCCCTTGATTTATTTTCTTGTAGTTCTGATTTATAGACCTCCCAGGTAGACCCACATTTTACCGTAGTCTGTCAAAGTCTATTCCTGTTGTAGTTTAATGTAAGCCTACATTCTGTTTTAAAGATTCTAAAGTGATTCACATGAAGCATTTTTTCTTTTTAACATCAGTGAAAAACCTAATGCTCTTTGTTCCTCCTGGAATAATATAAAACTTTACATTATTTCCCACAAGAAAGATAACACAGATGAGGTGAAAATGGAACTCTACCTGCTATTTAACATTTTCCTACCTTTGTCCACCCTGGAAAATACTCCTAACTTGATGCCTATGAGGAGTTCTGAAGGAATATGCACATTGATTATTGCCTCGCAAAGAAAACACTTTGAAGCTGTAGAGAAATTAGCACTCACATGAACCTCTTGCTGTTCTGCCCAGCCATTTTCCTTCTGGGTTGTCTGTGATGCGTATGATTTCAATTTGCTCTCCTTGCTTGAAGCTCAGTTCATTCTTTCCTCCTTTGACGTCACAACAAGCTTTTGCAAGATGGATGACTTGAATAGGGCCTGTTAGCTGCAAGGAGAAAAAAATAATCACCTGTTAGCTGCAAAGAGAAAAAAAATAAAGATTCTGAACTTTATATGTAAGCCTACATTCTATTTTAAAGATTCTAAATAAAAAGATTTCCTTACTATTTAGAAAATCTTTAAGGAATGCAATTTTGAAAGATAATAAGTCTGCCACTTGCTAACCTACCTATAACCAACATTTATAGGGTTTAACTAGAAATTGAAGGTGAATATTTTCTTATAGGAAGGGTTAGGGAAAAATCACGGAGGCTAAGGAGGACCAGCTAAGAACAGGTTAACATGTGCAGGGGTCAGGGGAGTGAGGCAGGGATCTGTTGACCTAGGAATTCTGGAAGAGGCCTGCAAAGGCAGCCCCCATAGCTGAATAGCACTTATGTACAACAATCCATGCTGTGTGCTATTTGTCTTTATGGGATATGCCAGGATTCTCTTTGGAAGATGGAGTTTTTTCCCCTTTGTATTGTGTAGTTATTCTAATGCATCTCTGCAGATCTAAAACACCAAAAGGAAGATTAGGTGGTGGTGCTGGATTGAACTTGTGGGAAAAGCATTTCCTTTTTTTTCCTATCCTTTTAATTTTTTTTAACTTTGTGGTAGCTGCCTGTTTGTAAAATTGGAGCAGACATTACCTGCTATAAACACGACAAAATTTCAGAAATAGGCTTGCCAATCAAAAAATAGCAAGCAAATGTCACACGAGGTTTTAAAAATTAATATTCTGAATAGTATGGTGGCTTATTAGTAAAAGGGTAATGATCTTGGTTAGACCATGAATCCTAAACTCTTAATTTTCTAACCCTAAATTGGTGTCTTTACAACAGAATTTCTTGAATCTTCTGATATGCAAATATGCATTATGACTTTTAAAGATCTACCTTACTTTATTTATGATGCCATTAATTGTAAACATGTATCATTATCATGCACCACGAAGAAATAAAGAAAATAAGTTAAGTTAAATTATGATATGCCATGATGTTGATGAGGCTCAGTTCTCGTATTTATTTAATTTTTTGCATATTATCTATTAACATCTTGTGGAAGGAATATAGCTAGCGAAGTCCTACTCTTGATAAACTTTTGACTTCATATTTAATGGTATGATTTCCACACCCTATCTTTTCTTACTAAAAATATTATTTGAATGAATGAGATAATATAAAACTGATTTCTCCAAAAGAAACATATGGAAAAACCTTACATAATTCCTTTAAATCTACAAACAATCTCTTCATGGAAAGTATACTATATAAATTTTCATAAATTAATTGAAATTAATTTTTCACTTGAAAAAGATAAACAGTGGTAGTCATGCATTTTGTGTGAGTAAAATGTTCTAATAATATTGTAATCATAATTTTACTTATATATGGCAAGCTTTTTCAAAATCAAATGAGAATGTTATGATACAGTGCCTGCTGTGTATTATTTTAGTTCTGTAACAAACTTTCTGGAGTAATGTCATTTATTCTCACTTAAGAAATGGCTGTGCATGGTGGCTTACGCCTGTAATCCCAGCACTTTGGGAGGCTGAGGTGGGTGGATCATGAGGTCAAGAGATCGAGACCATCTTGGCCAACATGGTGAAACCCCATCTCTACTAAAAAAAAAAAAAAATTAGCTGGGTGTGGTGGCATGTGCCTGTAGTCCCAGCTACTTGGGAGGCTGAGGCAGGAGCATTGCTTGAACCCGGGAGGTGGAGGTTGCAGTGAGCAGCGCTTGTGCCACTGCACTCCAGCCTGGTGCCTGGCAACAAAATGAGACACTGTCTGGAAAAAAAAAAAAAAAAGGATTAAGAATCAGGGGCTCAGAGAAGTTAAGTGAAAAGCCCAGGATCACATAACCTGTATGTACAACTAGGATTTGATTCAGTGTGTCTAACTGACTTGCTGCTATATGTTTTCCCTGTACCATGCATTGATTGAACCTTTGCTTTAATACTATAAATATACTGGGAAGTCATATATAAATCAAATTTTTTATAACTTGAACCACATATTAAATGCTCCAGAGGAATAAATATTTAAAGAAGCCATACTGTGAATTCTTTTTGAAAGAATAATTTTGTAATTCAGACAATCACCCTAAATATGTCTGACATGCTAGACATATTTAGGGTGATTATCTGAATTATCCGTAATTCAAATAATCTGTGGTGGATGAGCCTTGCCATCAAAGATGGTGTAGCCAGGAGAAAATAGCCAGTGAGTAGTGTTCATTGGTGGTAGTAATGGTAGAAGACACACAATTACCAGAGATCAGAGAATACAGAGATCAGAATCCAGGTAGACAAAGAGGGATGAGAAACAGCAGGTATCAGAAGTCTGCATGTATATAGACTTAAAATAAAGGCAAAAATGTAAATCAGGTCTAGATTCTAGTAACGTAGCTCATGGAAATCTTATTCTGAGACAGGTCTGGTTTACCCTGGGGACATCTGTGTCTAATGCCCCACTATAAAACAAACCACAGGGATATTTATGTGTGTGATGCTAAGCTCATGGTATAACTAGGCTATATTATAAGAAATGCATTATGGGGAGAGCCAAGATGGGTTTGAAGAAGCAAATATTCATTCACTCAATCAATATTAAATTTCCTGGGTGCCCACTAATTATAAAACACCATATTTTATTTAAATTTTATTATATTTGTTCAGGGATAAGATGGTGTGTTGGACAAAAAAGTACTGTTATGAAGATAATTGCTCTTTAGAAAACAACGAGTAAGTAATTCTTCAACTATGTAAAGTTTCCAGAATGGTATCCCTTTTGTGTGAGAGGTATAAAAAGACGTTACTCTTTCACTCATCAGCAAGCAAGCACTTACTTTAAATTTCTTCTTTATTTCTTGTTCTTTCTTTTCTTTCTCTTTCTGTTCCTTTTTCTCCAGCTCTAATCTCTTCTTTTCCTCCTTTTCTCTTTTCTTTTCTCTTTCTTTGGATGCTTCTCTATGAATAAAAATTGTTAGATTGTTTTCACATCGGCAGGTGTTGAGGCATCGGAGCTCCCTACCTAGAAGTTTCTACTCACAACAGAAAAGGTGGCATCTGAAGTATGGATGAAGGTAAAAAACCAAGGGTTGTCAAAATCCAGAATGTGTGAGATTATTTTTAAAACCAGTAGGAGGCACACAGCTATAGCTACCTTCCAAAGGCTCGGCTTTCCCTGACAACTGGTGCCAGCAAGTTGAAGCCACCATTTATAAAGGCCCCATTCTTGTTGTATGTTGGCATAAATAGAATCCATCTCTTTTTCTCTCTGTCATATGCACACATGCCTGTGCATTCACAGGTACACATATAAACTTTGGCTCAGAAACTTGAGTCAGAATTGGTTGAATAATTACTGGGTATAAAAAATTAAGATATGTGAGATCACCATATGATAAAGTAAGATAATATATTCATTTCTACTTTCACCCACTTTCCAAGAAATTTCTTTTTCAAAAAACTTCTTTTTTTTTTTTTAACATCTTTTCACTTTACCAGCAGACACCTCTGGGCTCCACGATAAATTATTTTTCATGGCACCCCTGTGGGTGGAGGTCTGTTCAGGTGAAGAAGGTGTAACAGATATTAACTCATCTGCCCAAGGATACACTAAGATTAAGAAATCCAGATTCCTGTCTCTGATTCCCTGCCTGTGGTTTATCTCATAGACTGCACATCTCTGGCCTCTCACACAACAGCTTTTTAATAGAGTCCTTTGTAGAATTCTTAGAGAGCTAAATAAGTTTTGGTCTTGTAAATTGAAATAAAAGTTATTATATGTCAGTCATTTGAACAATTCAAGCTTCCCCCCAGTGGTGTTATATACCCACTCTCCCTCATACAAAATATTATATTTATCTTTGAAGAAAACTGCCATGGTTAAAAATGTAATTCATACATGTCTTCATATGTTTCTCCTTCACTATCTTGTTCCTATAAAGAAAAACATTGATGATGATTAATTTTTATTATTTAAAAAGTTAACATACACATACTACATTTCTTAGACTTAAAATAAAGGCAAAAACATAAATTTTTAAAATTTGAACTACATATTAAATGCTCCAGAGGAATAAATATTTAAAGGAACCATATTGTGATTATTTTTGAAAGAATAATTCAACTACTCAGTAAAACAGCTATTTGCCAGTTTATGTAATTTAAGTGTATGGAAGTTTGGCTTGCTTAAAATATTTCCTTTTCTCCTTATAAATAGACTGGGAAAGCAAAAACAGAAAGATTTTTTTTTCTATGCTATATAAATCAGATGTACAGTCAGACTAAAGTTTATGTTCAGCACTACAGCATTTTAATGAGTCAGTGTGATGACTGGTGTGTAATGTCTTAAGCATTTTAGATGAAATAAGATTAGAAATGGAAAAATATCATTACTCATAAGAATTTTCATTGTTTTGGTATGTACCAATAGGGAGTGAACCATAATACTTGTTAAATATTCTAATTATATTAATATAATATGAGAAGAAAAGAAATCTGACCTCATCAAGATTTCCAGCACCTAAAAGATTAAAAAAAATAAAATTTAATACATTTGTAATAAGGAAGCACTTTAATATAAGATTATTGGATATAATATAATAATATTCAAAATTGTTCATAATCTAACAGAACTTAAGCTTTAGCAAAGATATAGAAATAAAAAATAAAATATATACTTTAGATCTTTACTGTGGTTTTTTTGATGCTGGTGACTTAATTATAAAGTAATTTCATTGGCTTTCATAAAATAATGCAAAGGCCAAGAAATAATTAATACACTATTCCCTTTATGAAAAGGGATGTCCTTTGGTTTTATGAGCTTGTACGGAACATGGTGTATTAAAAAAATCACTGTTTCATACCTTTTTACTTATTAGTTCCCAATGATTTGTTTTTATGTATCAAACAAATCAAGTTAATTGGATTAAAAAATTTAATGCTCAAGAGTTCATTGTAATATCAAAAATAATTACTGAACATTGAAACATAATCTAATATTAAGAGCAATAATATAATAATATCAATAATAAAAACAGTGTGGTGTTGGTATAAGAACAGATAAATAGATCAATGGAATAGAGCAGAGAATTCAGTGACATACACAAATGTACATAAAACAGCCATAATATACACATACACACACATTGAGCTGATATAATATAAAGGTAGCACTATAAATTAATGAGAAAAGGATGGATTGTTTAGAGTACAGTAAGGAGAAAAGTGGCTCCATACTTGGAGGCAACAATTCTGGATTTCAACCACCTCCTCAAAAGGGACTGCAAAGAGATCAAATACCTAAATATAGTTATGTGATAAAGTCTACAGAAAAAAAATGAGAACATTTTTATTTTCTAGGAAAAAGGACTTCTTAAATAACTTAGCATAAATTACAAAGCAAAATTAATGAATTTGATTATATAAAACTTTATGTTCAATAAAGGACAGCATGGGCTAAGCTAATAGACAACAGACTGAATAGAAGATATTTGCATTGTTTGAAGTTGACATGACATTGATGTCTGTAACATAAAGGAACTCCTACAAGTCAACTAGAAAAATATACCAATCCCAAGAAAAAGAATGGTCAAAAGGTAAAAAATGGCAACTTACAGAAGACGAAATCACAAAGGCTAATAAGCAAATAAAGTGCTCAAACTCAAGAGTATGCAGAGATCTAGAAATTAAAACGAGACAGCTGTGCATGGTGGCTCACCCCTGTAATCTCAGCACTTTGAGGGGCCGAGGCGAGTGGATCATGAGGTCAGGAGTTCGAGACCAGCTTGACCAACATGGTGAAACTTTGTCTCTACTAAAAGTACAAAAATTAGCCAGGCATGGTGGTATGCACTTGTAATCCCAGCTACTCAGGAGGCTGAGGCAAAAAAATCGCTGGAACCCAGGAGGTGGAGGTTGTAATGAACTGAAATCATGTCGCTGCACTCCAGCCTGGGTGACAGAGTGAGAGTCTGTTAAAAAAAAAAAAAAAAAAAAAAAAAAAGAGAGAGAGAGAGACATAATTTGATACATATAAGAAAAAAATGAAAAACTGAATAATGGGATCGATTGATGAGAGTGTAGATAGATGGATCTCTTCTGGAGAGCATGCTGGTCATATTCAGTCAATATAAGTTTTCCATAGCTCTGAGCAACCATTATATATCTTAAAGTCTCTGAGAGGTCCATATGGAGATGAATACAAGAAGGTGCATTGCACTGTTGTTTGTGGTACCAGGGAGTCTGAGGCAAGTGAAATGTGGATACATACCATGGAGCACTGTGTAGTTGTTAACAGCAACAGAACACACAGTGATATGAATGGGCCCCAAAACCACATTATGCTGATTGTGCAAAAAACCTAGAGAAACCTATAATATACTCTTTACGTGAACTAAATACATGCATACATGTCACAATATGTGAGGAATTTGTGCAAATACACATACACATTAAATGTTAGAATATTTGTCTGTAGGAAGGAACAGAAACAAGGATAAAGGAAGTGAGTCATGAAGATGAAAAGGAATAAACAAATAAAACAAGAGAGGAGTCTTGCACAGACCAATGATGATAATGACCCATTAATGAGCCTACAAGAATGATTAGCTCACTTTGGGAGGCTGAGGCGGGCAGATCACTAGGTCAAGAGATCGAGATCATCTTGGCCAACATGGTGAAACCCTGTCTCTACTAAAAATATAAAAATTAGCTGGGCATGGTGGCGCATGCCTGTAGTCCCAGCTACTCAGGAGGCTGAGGCAGAAGAATTGCTTGAACCTGGGAGGCGGAGGTTGCAGTGAGCCGAGATTGCTCCACTGCACTCCAGCCTGGCGCTTGGTGATGGAGCAAGACTCTGTCTCAAAATAAATAAATAAATAAAATAAAAATGATTAGCTCAAACTTCTGTACCTGATTTTACAAATAAATAAAATATGTTTTGCCATTTACCATCAGAGTGCATGACACCATCTTGATTATCTTCATTGACAGGACTTCTGAAAACAAGAAAGAGGAAACAGTGAACATGGAACAAGTAGGTGTTCACCTTACAATGAAAAAGGGAAAAAGAATTATTTTGTGAGTTATTCTTTTCTCTTGAACATTTGCTCCGATTTAAGGCTTCAGACATCACTAGCATAGGCTTTAGCCTTATATTTATGCTGCTTTTGTGAAAAAAATGGAGAACTGGGAAACTTGAGCATAGCACCATTCGTTCAAAGTAGGCTCATACAATTAATCCATTGCTTCTGGGGGGTAATATGCTTTTCACCAAATTGACAGTAAATTAACACTTCAATTCTGAAATTATGAGGGCATTTGATTGGTTCTTTGGTACATATACAAAAGAGAATTAGATCTAGGGCTGGACACGGTGGCTCATGCCTGTAATCCCAGCAGTTTGGGAAGAAGCTGAGGCAGATGAATCACTTGAAGGCAGGAGTTCCAGACCATTCTGGCCAATGTGGCAAAACACCCTCTCTCCTAAAAATATTAGATTGGTGCAAAAGTAATTATGGTTTTTGCCATAAAATGAATGGTAAAAGCCACAATTACTTTTGCACCGACCTAATACAAAAAATTAGCTTGGCAAGGCATTGTACACCTGTAATCTCAGCTACTCAGGAGGCTGAGGTGGGAGAATCACTTGAGCCTGGGAGGTGGGGGTTGCAGTGAGTTGAGATCGAGCCACTGCACTCTAGCCTGTGCAACAGGGCAAGATTCTGTCTCACCAAAAAAAAAAAAAAGAGAGAGAGAGGGAACTATAATAGTTCCAATCCCTGACTCCTACCTTTTCTCCAGATGGTTTCTTCTTGGCTTTACTTTTATCGCCCTGTCCTCCAAGGTGCTTCATTTCAATGGCTTCACTCCAACTGCTCTTAATAGCATTATCAATATCTGGGCCCCACAAATCCCTAATTATGTATATAACCATTTATATTTTCTATACCTCGCAGGTTGATTCCTAAACACAGCTGGAGAAAATTGCTGCCAATTTTACTGATTCTGGACATTATAAACAATTGATATTCAATCTCAGCTGTATCTGCCTCTGCTGTTCAACAATCTCATCACTCTTTCTTTGTAGTCAGCCTTCTCTTGCATTGTCCTTCTCTGTACCTATTAAAAATGTTTACTGCTTTCTTCAGTCTGCCATTTCTCTCTTTTCCCTATAATCAGATGACCTTGTTTCTTATTTCACTGATGAAACAGGTCGTTAGGTGTGAACTCTCTTGAGAAAATACATTTCCTTAACCCACAAACTCACTCTGCAGTTACACACACCCATCCTTACCTTCTCCCTACTCTCTGCGCCTGTGTTCTGAATTTCATCTGAATTCTCAGTAATTTTACTCCTTCAATTACCCACTTTCTTCCATGTGTTGCTTTATTACTTACATTCTTCTTACTTCACTCTTTGCCCTTAAATCTCTCATGCTTTGTTTTCTCTCTCAGCCCAAGTTACTGTCATCCATAAGACACAAACACTTCACTTTACCTCTGTGAATTCTTCACATTACCATAAGATATTCCTCCTATAACCAGCCAAGCTAAGAAAAAGCTGTCTTTATTCTGACTTGACTTCCTCTCCTTCCATGCATTTCTTCCCCCACTGCAATCTTTCCTCTATTGCCACTTCTTCCCTGAAACTATTCTTAAAAATATTAGCTACCAAATCCACTGAACCGTCTCAGACCGCATCTTACTCGACTGCTTTCTGGCCATTGACGGTATTGGCCATTTTGCCCTCTTTGAGTCTTCTTTGTTTGTTTCCATGACAAACAGCTCCTGGCTCACTTCTTGTCTCTCTGGCCACTACTCCACAATTTTCTTTGTGGTTTATTTTCTTTTGACTTTCTTTTTAAGTGATGATGTTATGTTGTGTTCTTTCTTTTTTCACTTTGCAGTTTTTAATAAATGATTTTCTATACCTCCACAGCTTTATATGTGACCTTAGTGTTGGCAAATTCCATGTTGAAATCTCTAGCTCAGGTTTCTCTTTTGAGTGGGTGTCCTATAGCCAGTTCTATATTAACATCTCAGAAACTGAGGTTTCTCCCTTTTAGCCCAGCCTAAACCTGCTCTCCCAATTAGGTTTCTTTTCTTGTTGGATGGCCCCACAATTCACATATCCATCGCACCACAACTCATTCGTTGTTTTTCACTCATCTTCCGTCTCATGTCAAATCAATCATTAAGTTCTCCATACTAATTCACTTCCCTCTTCCATTTTCCCCTCTCCTGCTAGACACAAAAATCGCATTATATTATCTCTAGAATCAACTTTTGCAGTAGCCATCTGGTCAGTGTTCTAGTAATCAGAATTACTCCTTCTCTTCCCTATCCTGAGAGTCCCTTCTCCAACTTTTGCCATCTTTCTAACACAAAAATATGATTATGTTACTCTCATGTCCAATAGTCAAACTCCTTAAAGACTTAGGAAACATAATTGCTTGAAGAAGAGATGCTGGTTGCAAAACTAACCCCATTTGAAGAATGTGGGCTGGAAGTGCCTTTTAATCACTAAAACTATAAAATGGATACACCTGTAACTCAGGAAGAATTGTCATGGATATCTGTCTCAGTCTCCACCTGAGATGGTAAACATAGGTAGAGTCTGTTAATCTAATAAAGTCACTTTAAAAACAGAAAATTAAAAATTTAACTTATATATGCTTAGCTTTCTATTTGAGTAAGTATAAAGGCCCTGTTAATTAACTCATTTAATTGGTCATGACAAGATGCTTGTTTCCTTTAGAGAGTCTTTTTCATCCTTGGAACATTTAGAATTAAGTACAGACATGATGGAATAAGCTAAACTCTTGGTAAAAACAATTTGTGGAATAAGTTTTATAACCATTGGGACAATATGTATACATTTAAATTTTTTAAGTATTTGTAATATTTAAGAGATTTGTTACATTAGTGAATATTCAATTAGACTTGCCACATCAATTTAAAATTTGTGGTTTAGACTTTCTAAATTTTAGTTGAAACCTTAAGGAGTCTAGGTATTGTCAATGGCTGCTCACATCAAAAAAGGAGAGTCAAGCAAACATTATCAGTTCCTGATAAAAGAATACACCAAAAAAATAAAATAACTAAATTTGATCAAGCCACCTCTACCTCCCACTGTCAATTTATAGGAAATACAGAGGAGAGAGGAACACATAGCTATATTATAGAGAGTAATCAGCAAAGTATAGATGATGGGGAACTATAGTATCCACAAACAACTTGATTTCCTCAACAAATAAATTGCAAATAATTTTAAAAAAAGGACATGAGGAGTGAACCCATATCTTAAAAGAGAATAATGGGCCTGGTGTGGTGGCTCATGCCTGTAATCCCAGCATTTTGGGAGGCTGAGGTGAGTGAATCATCTGAGGTCAGGAGTTTGAGACCAGCCCGGCCAACATGGCGATACCGTGTCTCTACTAAAAATACAAAAATTAGCCGAGTGCGGTGGCAGATGCCTGTAATCTCAGCTACCAGGGAGGCTGAGGCACGAGAATCTACTGAATCCAGGAGATGGAGGTGGCAGTGAACCAAGATTGTACCACTGTACTCCAGCCTGGATGACAGAGCAAGACTGTCTCAAAGAATAACAAAACATAAAACATATATAAACATATATGCCAACAAAGATATGAATAATTTGGATTCTTATTCAAATAACTTAAAACACACACACGTTTTAAGAGATCATTGGAAATCAGAACACTGACTTGATATTTTATATTAATACACAGAATCTATTTTTCTAGGAATACCTACTGAAATATTTGTAGTTGAAATTATATGATGTTTTGTATTAGTTTCAAAATAATATAAGAGGCAAGTGGGTGGGGGTATAGATAAAACAAGATTGGCCATGAGTTTATGGTTGTTGAAGTTGGTGAAAAGAACATGGAAGCTCGTTATACTATTATTCCTGCCTTTTATATGCTTAATTTTTAAAAAATATACTTCTTAAAAAGTATAAGAAAAATCTAATTGCAAATGCTATTGGATATTTAAGGGTACTGGTTGTGGTTCAATTTAATAGATTTATGAGAGCCATTTAAATTCTTGGGAGGATTTTGTTTAGTGGGGTGATTAAATGTGTTCATTCAGGTATTTGGAATGTTTAAAAATAAAATCAAATATGTTAATATATACATGCAATATGAAACATCGAAGGAAGTTTCATTAACCACTTTTATTTTTTTTTATTTTTATTTATTTATTTATTTTTTATTTTTTTTTTTTTTTTGAGACGGAGTTTCGCTCTTGTTACCCAGGCTGGAGTGCAATGGCGTGATCTTGGCTCACCGCAACCTCCGCCTCCTGGGTTCAGGCAATTCTCCTGCCTCAGCCTCCTGAGTAGCTGGGATTACAGGCACGCACCACCATGCCCAGCTAATTTTTTGTATTTTTAGTAGAGACGGGGTTTCACCATGTTGACCAGGATGGTCTCCATCTCTTGACCTCGTGATCCACCCGCCTCGGCCTCCCAAAGTGCTGGGATTACAGGCTTGAGCCACCACGCCCGGCCTCATTAACCACTTTTATAAACAGAACTACTGATTTGAAAGAATTTAGTTTGAGGCATGTGAGCTGTCCCCCTGAAAACAATTCTAAGTTAAATACAAATTACTAGATGTATAAATAAAATGACAAGTCATATAACATAACTTTAAGTACTTAAAGTAAGATAGGCCTTTGCATTATTAACTTTGATGAACTGAATATTACTTAAAAAGAAGAAAATACTTAAGACATTTAAATACACTGACATTGTACAGAGTAAAATCCATAGCTCTTTTTATGGCATACAGGTTCTTATGATAAGCCTTGACCTGTACACCTCTATTTCTCATAGTTCCTTTTCTTACATGATCTTCTCACATATTAACACTAAACTCACATGCTGTCTGAATACTCTCTGGTTTTCTGTTCCTCCATGCTCAGCCCATGCTTCCCTTCTTTGGAATAATCCATCCTTATCAGCATC